TTTGCCGAATCCGAAGAAAGGAATGCTTTCCAGAGAGCTGCCGAGAAAAATACCATGCTCACCGGATGGTTTGAACTGAACAGGACAGTTCCCGAAGCGAATGGTTACCTGTATGCCGAAATTCCTAAACATTTCACCTGGAGGAATCATGCCTGGCAGACACGAGTTAGACTTGGAGATTACATCATTTCAAGAATGTATTCTGTTAGCCCGAAAGATGTTGAGCGTTTCCATCTGAGGTTGCTGCTGTGTCACGTTAAAGGAGCGAAGAGTTTTGCCGACTTAAGAACTTACGAAGGTGTGGAGTATTCAACGTTCAAGGAAGCCTGCCGTGCAAGGCATCTGCTGCAAGACGACGAAGAATGGAAAAATACTCTGGCAGAAGCATCAGCTTTTCAAATGCCACCGCAGCTAAGACAGCTTTTTTGCTTCATCTGTGTTTTCTGCAACCCTGCGGAACCCGTCGCTTTGTGGAATGAATTCAAAGAGTCCCTTTCTGAAGATTTTGCGAGATCTTACTCCTTAGAAGACAGTTTCAGCCTTGCACTGAGAAGTATAGAAGACCAGTTAGAAGTGCACAATGTTTCGCTATGTTCTCTTGGTCTCCCGCAACCAACATTGACTGATGCTGTTTCTCTCGAAGTCCCGCAGTTCGATGTCCAGTATGAAAACGAACAAGCCGAAGTGTTGAACGGGATGTTGAATCCTGAACAGAAATTAGTTTACGACTTGGTTTTGGAAGCTGTACGAGATGAGAATCCTAACACACACCGAAGACATTTGTGTTAATGCGTTTGCCGGAGCTGGAAAAACTTTCCTTTTTAGGACGATCCTTCATGCTGTTCGAGGAATGGGCCACGTTGCCATTCCCGTTGCGTGGACAGGTATTGCTGCTGTGCTGTTGACCGGTGGAAGAACTGTACACTCTACTTTCAAGTTGCCCGTTCCACTTCTGGAAAATTCTTCGTGCCGTGTGAGACAAGATAGCGCTGAAGGAAGGTACTTGAAGACTGCGAAACTTTTCATATGGGATGAATGCACCATGACGCCTCATTACGCTTTGGAAGCTGTCGACAGATTGCTGAGAGACTTGACCGGACTGGATGTTCCTTTTGGCGGTAAAACCTTAGTTTTAGGAGGTGACTGGAGACAAACATTACCTGTTGTCGCACATGGAAACCGAACTTCTGCGATCGAGAGCTGCCTCAGGAACTCCTTTTTGTGGCCACATTTCAAACAATGCACGCTTTCCACCAATATGCGATTGAATCCGGAAGAACAAGAATTTTCAGAATGACCAAGAATTCTTCTGCAGTTGGGAGACGGTCGTCTTAAAAATGACAGTGGCTTGGACGAAGACATTATCGAAATTCCATCTTTGTGTGTGGTCAACAGATCGATAGTAGAAGAAATGTTTGGCTGCGGTAATGAATTCGACTTACAAGACTTGGCCAGTAAAGCGATTTTATGTCCAAAGAACGAGGAAGCTCTGAAGCTTAATGAAGAAATTCTTTCCACGTTTCCAGGTCAAGTTTTCACGCACTACAGTGCAGACTCGGTTATTTGCGATGACGAAGAAGAACAAGAAACGTATCAGCTGGATTTCATCCACAGCCTGACGCCTTCTGGAATGCCACCTCATCGTCTGAATTTGAAAGTTGGAGTTATAGTTATGCTTCTACGAAATCTACATCCATCGGTTGGACTCTGCAACGGAACAAGGCTCATTGTGAAGAGAATTATGCCAAACGTTTTAGATTGTGAAGTCATCTCTGGACAGAATGCTGGATCGAGAGTTTTCATTCCACGTGTTGAACTTTCACCATCAGATTCAAACCTCCCCTTTCAGCTCAAGCGAAGACAGTTTCCCATCAGGCTTGCATTTTGTATGACTATTAATAAGTCACAGGGACAGACACTTAAGAAAGTTGGGATTTATTTACCGCAACCAGTTTTCAGTCATGGAATGCTTTACGTAGCTTTTTCAAGATGTTCGTCTATGAGGAATGTTCGTGTTTTAGTGAAAGACACCAAGAAGCAAGGCCGTTTGATGCCCGCATGTTCTAAAGTATTCACAAGAAATATTGTTTACAGGGAGGTTCTGCAGTAAAAAAGTTACTCGAGACATTGAAACAGTGAGATTTTTGCAACACAAAATGAAGTTAATCAAGCCAAAGCAAAAATGAAAAAGATTTGAGGTTTTTGGATGACTGGGATAAATTGAAGCAAGTCAAGATGAAGCTGAAACAGTTTTGAGAATTATGCATTAGTCGGCTTTTATGTCTGTCGTTACAAAGTGGAATTTGGAGTAGTTAGGCAATCGGAAGCTGTATTATTTTTTCAATGTTGTAAATATTTTTTATAAATTTTCCTTTTCAGGTCTACATACAATTGCGTTCATTAATTTTAAAACATTTTATGTATTTTTCTTTTTTAGGTATTTATGGAACTGATTTCAATCACATAAAAATATTTCTTTTTCAGGTGTATATAGAAATGATTTGATTCAAATTAAAATGTTTTTATACATTTCTTTTCAGATGTACATAGAACTTGTAAATACTTTTTTTCAGGTGTATATAGAAATGATTTCATTCAAATTAAAATGTTTTTTTTCTTTTCAGGTGTACATAGAACATGTAAATTTTTGTAAATAATTTTTCTTATTCATTGCTTGCATTTTTGTAAACACATACAAATATATATATATCTTAATTGTGCGTGTGTGTATATATGTATATACAATTGCATCAATATATATATATATATATATATACATATTTATATATAGTGATGCAATTTTGTCTATGATTCTGTAACAGCAGACCAGGGAAGGGGCTGATACCTGGGAGAAAAAATAACCCCCTGGTCGATGAGGTTGCAGAGGAGACCCCAGGTGTCAGGCAGTTTATGCCGTCAAAAGCCCACCAATTTTTTCTGTTTACATTTTTTTTTTTTTTCTGTTCAAGTTTTTGTGTTTAATATAAACTTATAACTAAGAAATTATTATTATTATTATTATTTCTTTTCAGATAAATACGGATTGTAGCTCGCCCATCTGGCGTACTTACTCGGTAGATTTTAAAAATTATTTTCTGTTTTTCTTTGAACTATTGACGCAATAACTGATTTCATTCATATAAAATATTTTGTTTTGCATGATATTTAATATACTCAAGGGATAGGCCTGTAATAATGTCTTTCCCAAAGTTGTGTCTTTTATAGACATAGGTACAGTAAAATATTTTACGGGTTCACACGAGCCTGACATTTTATGAAACGTTTGGAAAAGTTTCTGTGTGCTGCCCTACTGTGTTATCCAAAGAACAAACAGTTGCAGTAGTTGATGATAATGTGTGTACAGCCCCAAATAATTGGAGACAAGGATATTTTTGGAGTTTGTTCAAAGCTAAAAAAAATATCATTGATGCAGATTCCGACAAAGAAAACGAAATGAATAATGCAGTTCTTGTGGATGATTTTTGTTTCATTGATTTTTTATTAAATACATGCCTATATGCATATCTGTGCAAATAAAATGTACTCTAATAAACTTAATTTTGTTGAAAATATGTTTTTTTTTTTTTTTTTTTTTTTTTTTCAATATCCTTTAACACGAAAAAATTCTTCAGTCCCTTCGGTTTCGTGTTAATAATAATGAAAGTGAGAAAAACAATTTTAATCATAGATTTAAAATTATTTTTCTGTTTTTGATTTAAATACAAAATATTTCCACAAATTGAGTGGGTGCAGCCCACCCATCTGCAATACTTACTCGGTAGATTTTAAAAATTATTTTCTGTTATTTATTTATTTTGAATGCGATAAAAACAGGCGACTAACTAATTTGGTTTATATGTATGTACATATATATTTTCAAATGTATATACAGGGGATATTGGACACATACAACACTATTGACACAATATGAGCTATATCCACACAATGATGGAACAAGGTGTGCAGCAGATGCAAGACATGGGCATGATTCACATGATATTTGATATACTCGAGGGATAGGACTGTAATGAGCAAATGAGTTTGTTCCACAAAGTTGCGTCTTTTACAAACACCCAACATTCGAATCCCAGTGAATGGGGTGGCTGCATGGGTGTTTTTGTTATTTTCCCCATGCATAGCCACTTTCCTTTAAAAAGCCGACAAGAAGGCATCCCTCCCCTTAGGCAGATTGCACTCGAGTGCTTTGCCGTAGCTGAATACGCTACACCACTACATTACACACGGAAGTAAAAATGACACTTCCTGTGGTCGTTGCCTAATTATTCAAAATATTTTGATAATGTTATCTGTTCTTAGAATTTCCATAGCATTGCACATATTATTATTTAACATTCTGTTATTTACCAGCAATTTTATAATCTGCAAGTTTTGGTTTTACAATTTTTGATTTTTTAAAATTAAACACCTTCTTACACAATTTGCAAATGAGTTCAATAGCCAAACATTCCCTTTCATATTACATCTGAAGAACTGTTGTAGCATTATGCAACAAACATTTCGCTGTTCATTAAAATATAGGAACACTTTTCACTCACATTTTGATTAGAATTTGATGTAGATTGAAAAGTTGTTTTCAACTCAGCTGCCTTTACACTCGCAGTTGTATTCACAATTGATTTTCACGCTGGACTTTCATCATTTGTCATATCCGCTAAAGGAGATTTATTTTTTTTTATTTTATAAAGTGTCAGCAATTTTTTCTGCTGTAACGGCATCTACAAATGACCATCTGCCATGAATATTCTTCACACATGCCACGAGTTTTATTTTAGACCCGCTGATGCTTTGGGTTTATGATACTACTTGCTAATAGTATGCATTATGATAGCATATGTAAAAAAAAAAGAAATTTACCAGTATAATCAAAATAGAACAAATTCACGACTAAAATATTATCAAGAGTCTTAGAAGACCCTTCGAAGAACATTTTTAGAAGGTAAACAAAGATAACTGACGAAACTGATCAGCTCGAAAACCCACGCTTGAAAAATGTAAACAAACGCCGCCGAAAGCAGTTACAGTTACGACTAAGATCAAAGGTTTGCTCGCAGTTAAAAGTATTACTTCCGAGCATGAAAAAATTGTAACATAATGCTTTTAAATGTTTTCTACTATTTTAAAGGCATTTAAATGCCAGTATATATTTACTGTTATGAAACATAATTACAAAAGAGATGTTAAGTATAAAATATATAGACAGCAGTTGGAGTTTACCAAAAAGAATTTAAATAAAGGAATTTTAACAACGAGTATACTGTTGGAATATCACACACCCGAAAATTTTCGCGATTACACTTCGTACAAGCAGCTGAGCGGTAAAATCGCTGAACACTGGTAGTTCGGTCCAACTTTCTAATCCCGGCGAGCGGGCTGGCTGCATGTGTGTTTTCGTGGTTTTCCGCATGCAGTATCTTCTGCATGCATACGTTAAAAAGCGGGGGGCGCAGCAAATGTAAAATCGCTGTACACTGGTAGTTAGGTCCAACTTTCGAATACCACGAAGGCATCCATCCCCTGAAGTAATGGGCTTCAGCCCGCTCAGCTGGCGGGCTTGCCCGCTAGTCTATACTATTAAAATCTGTGCGCGTCTGTCTGTGTGTTTGTGTGTTTGTAACATCATCTCCTCGGGAACGGCTGGGTGTAGAGCTTAGCGGAAGGTACCGTTGGATTCAGAATTCCCGTGGCTCGCCATATTGACCATCGGCATCTTCGTGCGACTTTAATTAGCCGAGATATTAATTAAAAACTGCTTTTTCCCCTACGTTTCCCTACGTTTTGCACTTTCTTTCACGGGTTTTCCCTATTTTAGGGATTTGGCCGAGTGCCAAATTCGTTTTTCTCGAATATCTGCGGAACGGCTCCGAGTTGCGATTCGAAACGCATATCCCCGTATTCGAAAAAAATCAACGAATCCATCGATACCGGTCCCATCTTCGTACGACAATAATCGGCGGAGTTATTAATTAAAAACTGCGAAAACGTTATTTCATTTTTCGGAGTGGCAACTGTCTCGGAATTAGGTGAGATAAAATTGCTTTTTCGAAAGCGAGGGGGGGGGACAATTGCTTCCGCTCGAGATTTGTGCCGGCGAAAGGTCACGTGTCAATTTCTTTTTTCTGAAATATCTATGGAACGGCGCTGAGTTGGAATTCCAGACAGGTATCTCCGGATTCTAAAAAATTCTGCGAATCCATTGATACCATTGTCATCTTCGTACGACTTTAATCAGCCGAGATATTAATTAAAAACTGTGAAAACGCTAATTTTTACTCTCAT